AATAGTGCGCAAACCCTCCGCACCCAAACCGAGAGGTGAGAAGACGCTCAAGATGCAACTACCTGAGCGGGAAACACCACCTGGTGATGCGACTCCCTCAGTTTCACCTATAATTGTGCATGCAGGGGGTAAAATACCCCAGATGTCCCCATCGCGTGCTACTCAAACGGCGGCGCCTACTCCAAACGCATCTTGTCTTCCAGGGGTACATGTCGTGGAGGTAGGCATGGACGCTGAGCCACGGGCTTTTCCGCCAGCAGAACGAAAGAGAAATAGGAACAGAACTGCCCACACTCTTCAGGCAGGTTCGAAAAATGGAAAGAATGACATGGGACAAACAAGCTGGAGCGTAAGACTTACGCTACAGTTGCTTCAACGTCGTCTGATAACTTGCGTCCAGTCTCGTTTCCTGCGGCTAAGCCGGTTGCGGTTCATGTAAATTCCAAAACCCGTGGGGTAAATAGACCCCGTCGAGGTGATTCTTTCATGGATAGCAGCTTGATATTCCGTAACGCAGTAGAATCCACTGCTGCACTTCCTGCCGAACGCACATTAGACGACCTACAGTGGTTTAAGGTGTGCGTAACGAAGCTTCTTCCGCTTGGGTTTCCCGGTGTTACTGTCAAGAAACTGACTAGGTTGGGTAACGTCCCAGTTAACGCCTTAAACCCTCGACCGCGCTTACTTCGGGTAGTCCTATCCACCCCGTAGGAACGAAATGCGCTGTTGCGGTTTGCCTTCAAATTGAAGGGTACTAATGTTAGCGTTCAGCCAGACCTCCCATTAGCGGATAGGCTGAAGCTAAAAGAGACCATTAAGGACCTCAAAACCAGGCGAGAGGTCGGTGAACAAGGTCTCCGGTTGGTGGGTTTTCGGGTAGTCAGGCGACGGTCTGTTTCCGCCCTACCAGTGCCAGTACTGGTGGCGCACGACCCAGGGCTGTGCCTTACGACTAGCTTCAGATAGTGCTAAGTAATGTGCGGAGCCTAAAGAATATGATGTGCGAGATAGGTCTGCTTGTAGATGGGTCTCATCTCGATATACTTGCATTCACTGAAACGTGGCTGTCTCGGGACATCACGGACGGTGAAGTACATCTGTCTGGCTACGCACTATTTAGATGTGATCGCTTCGTTGGCCGACAAGGCGGGGGCGTTGCTATTTACGTTAGGTGTGAACTTGAAGTTGCACCCACCTACATGTTTCAGTCGGCAGATAAAACTGTCGAAGCGCTGTCGGTAGTGATTAATACTTCCTCAGCTCAACTTACAGTCGTACTTGTGTATAGAAGCCCTGGGAGTGCGTCCAAAGAGGTGCTTGACTTTATTCGCTCCCAATCCGCAAACAGGTGTTTGATACTCGGGGATTTCAATCTACCAGAAGTTTGCTGGGCGGGTCTTTCTTGCAACTCGGCAGAAGGTACTTTCGGAGCAGATCTACTTGAGCTTACGCTACAAAGTACCGTTGCATCAGTTCGTGAACTTCCCACTAGGTACATGGACGCCCAACTCCCGTCTATTTTGGATCTAGTTTTTGCCAAGTCACTAGAGTTCCTAGGGGACATCACTTACAGCACTCCCTTAGGTGCTAGTGATCACGTTTGTTTATCGTTCAGGTGTAGTCTGACCAGACGTCACCAGAGCATTGCTAAGCCATTTCTAAACACGTGGCATGCTAACTGTCAGGCAATGCGTACCAAGGCTGCTGGGATGCGTTGCGAAATCTCGGTGGTTGATACGGTTCAGGCGGCCTGGAATAAATTTAAATCTTATCTCAAGGAAGTGTCTACTCCCTACCTCGCGCTTGCGAGGAGAAAGGAGACACGGGCGCGGCCATCGTGGATAGATACCACTGGCAAATACCTGCTCCAGAAGCGTTCTACGCGCTGGAGGACCTACCGTGCGGCTCCATCAACTAGCTCCTATGATAGATGCCGCGAGGCTAGAAATAGGTGTAAACTACATTTAAGGAAAGCTCGGCTGGTGTACGACAAGGAATTGGCTGATGGAGTTTCGGAAAATCCGAAGAAGTTCTTCGCCTATGTTAAGAGACGCTGTGGTTCAAATTCGGTAAACCCAACTTTGATGCGGGCCGACGGAACTCGTGCGTATGCGGACTCAGATAAGGCTCGTGTATTTGGGGAACAGTATGCAGGGACTTTTGTACGTGAGGCCGCGTTGACTAGCCTTGAACTTGTCCCCAGAGTACCTGAGGGTTCTTATTTCGCTGAGTTTACTGTGGTGGAAACGCAAGTCCTTAAACTGCTGCAAGAACTGAACCCTTCCATGA